AAATGCTGCTCTTGTCTGATAGCCAAAGACTGATGCTTCTCCACCCCATGACCCACACAACCTCCAACAATGTCTAAGTACATCTCTGTTATTTTAATTGATGTAAAACTCATCTAAATTACACTTCCCACTCAAAGTTATCCTTCTCAGATCTCTGAGGACATTGATAGCTAACTGCAGCATCAAGGAGGACACGCACTCAGCTGCCTGGTCAGTCCATTTCCTATGTACAGTTTCCTTGCTGACAGGCTTCACACTAAGAAAGATTTAGAGTTGCTGCAGGTCTAAGGAAGTAATTTAAGGCACATAAATCCAGGACATACTTCAAGACAAGTCTGAAATTCCATCAGGTCCTGTGGCGCCTCACACAGACCCTGCTCTAATACACAAACCTTGACTCCTCCTTAACCTCCTCCTTTAAAGGTTTTTCCTTTTTCACTCCCTGCTCCTCATTCCTCCTGTCCTATTCCTTACTAGAAAGGGATGTCCTCTCCAAAACTGACATGATTTATCTTTTACCCTTACAACAGCTCCCAGGACACCCCTGCATCTCTCCTCCTCCTTTCCTCAGCCTCATTTGTACACCCCCACTCTATAAATCCCCAAATCTCCTACCCCATCCTCTCACACACAAGAGGGTCCTCTTCCTTCTTTTCTGTCTACACATTTTGCCCCCATGGATGGTTGCACCTTCCTATCAGATGGCCACATCAGACTGACCCATGCATTATCTAAAGACAATAATCACACCAACCTAACAGCTGGTCAAGCTGCCCTATGACACATCTCACTTCCTCCCAGACTACTCTACCACATTACCCAGATAACAACATACCCAACTTTCCGTCGACCAAGGTAACTCTCCTAACCCTCTGGTTCCTGCTTCCTCAAGATCACCTGTTCCTCACAAATCTCATCTCTCTTCTCACACTCTTCCTTTTCCTCTGCCCAAATAATTGTCAAACATAAACCGCCACTGGCTCCCCTATAATCACGAACGATGGAGATGTCCTCAGATATCAAACATTCTGAACAAATCCCAGGCTGGACCAATTCTAACCCCAGGTGTCCAGCAATCAGAGCAAACATTCCAGAAAACTATGTGCAGGTCACAGAAGCAGCTGGAAGCAGCTGAGTTTTAATGCAGAAGGAGGGAAGGGATCGACTTTCCAGTCATTCTGCAGTGGTCAAGCAATCCCGAGTCCAGTGACGCCAGAGAGCACTCTGACATCCAGAACGTATGCTGCAGGGGTGGGGACAAGGGAGGCACTCGGCTTCCTGGAGCTAGGTCTGACTGCATAATGCAACTTATGTGTGTGTGTGTGTGTGTGTGTGTGTGTGTGTGTGTGTGTGTGTGTGTGTGTATGCATGCCAACCT